AGCAAATAGTATTAAATTTGGGTGAAGGAAGGTAATCGATTAATGCACAACAAAAAATTGTCTAACTTCTGAAATTTAGATTTGTTTTTTCACCTCATGGCTGATGATATTATAAAATTATATTTTAATCCAAAAGTAGATAAATACCACATTTTACGTTATCCAAGGGTTAGTTACAGAGTTTGTCAGTTATTCAGTGACAAAGATGGACTCAAGTGATCTCATCTCGTGAAGTAATGATTAGCTAGACAGTTTCTTTGTGTAAACAATTGTCAGAAACTTAATAGGACCTGGGTCTGAGGCTGTCAATTTGATTTTTCAAGTTAGATGGCAACTCATTAGCCTACAAAGTGTTCAACCACGCTAACGGTGACCAGAAAATTTCCGTTTCATTACAGCAGCCAAAATGATGATGACAAAAGCCTGCTTGTCTTTCTACTAGGCTGCAAAGGGTTGCTAGGCTGGTACCGGGTAAATTTAGCTAAAACGTTTTATCGATAGTTACTAATCAGCATGAATGAGGTATATTTAATGATGCAACCCCCTTCAAAAGAAAATAAGCCTGAAATCCTTTGCATTATACCTAGAAGAATAACATAGATGCCTCATTTCAGCAAGTAAATCAGAAGCCATCACGTCTACACTTATCAGCAAGTGAATTTTACGTCGGGAGACAAAGCACTCTTGTTTTAAGGATAACATGGCTACCAATAAGTATTTGTGTTTAAAAGAGTAATCGGATTAAAACAGGGATTGATGAATGATGCCCGAAATCGACAGCTTCTTTGTGATTTGTAGTAAAAAAATCATCACTTTTTTGAGCCTTCCATGCAATGACCAATGGTCAAAAAGGTTATAACATTATGCATTTGTCATTTAGGAAAAAAACGTTTTGACAGATTTGCACTGCAACACTGTGTTAGCAGTAATAGCGCATGTTGTGGTCACCTTTTAGACGTCAGTGGTAATTTGGTCCAAATGCAAAGAGACGTGTTTTGTAGGGGAAATAAACAACAAAACAAACTTGTGCTACTGTTACTTAGGCCTAGCAAATCGAGCATAGGGTCCAACACTTAGACGAGAACTGTACATTGCCAAAAAGCCACTCCTATTTTTGCTGCACATAGTTATTAAAAGCAGTCACACTGAAGACAATGATGAATGTACTAATGGTGCAAGTATATCTATTAAGGACCAGGAACTTACACGAGTATAAATAAATCAGAACTGATATGACTTGCGTGACCATCGTAGACACTTAGCTACGAGGGTGTGATGTTTCATTGTACAGTCATTTGTTTAATTTTACAAAAAAACATGTGTGTTTAGCCCTACAAAGTTTTCATGTGATATTATCTAATTAAAATGTACTCACGACCCAAAAAACAACTTATCAGAACATCTACTTTTGACTTAATTAAATTAGCCGAAACTACCCACAACAAGTTTTAATGTATTAAGTACTTAACCTTTGCTTAGAAATATTAGAAAATCGTTTTGGGCCGTAAATACTTTGCTAGCATTTGTTCTATTCATAACGGGCATAGGAGCAGGCATCTGAAACAGTTATTCCAAAAAAATGAGTAGCAATAAATTCGAAATATAGGACATGAGATTGAAAAGAAAGTTTACATCGGTCTTCGAAAACAATCAGTAATTCTAAGAATCAACCCGCAAATTCTACTGACAACTACACTTATGAAACACCTGGGTGCAGGGTTACTCATTGTAAGAAAGCTATTTAAATGAAACTCGAAGGAGGAGACAATTAGTTAGTTGTGGTGCTGTCAGTGATTCCTTATTTGATCACATTTGTGATGAAATGCAATTAAGAACACAAACGCTATTATTTAAAACGGGGAGAGGTCGTGGGCAAAAGCCTCTTGTCAGTCATTTTCCTTCTGTTTAAACAACGCCACAGCTCAGTGAAATATTATCCTGTCAGAAAGGCAGGGAAAGTGAAGCCAGTATTAAAAAATACGAATGTGCACAATCAGGTAAGCGTAAGAAGAAAAAAGAAAGCTCCTACGGGAAGTCGTTTGAAGTTGATGGACGCAACTAGGGGTAATTTTGGTGGCTAAATGCTAAGTAAAGCACAATAAATGCCGTTCACACTGTTTGAATCAACAAAGCAATGGGATCTTCTAACGGTTAAAAAGCAGTATAGTTACTACAAAACGGTTGAAAGTTCATCATTCGTTTTACATGTTTTGTACATATCTACAAAGTCTAGTCCAAACTGATATTTTTTAAGAAGCTAAGACAGAAAATGATAAAGGCTTAACGTAATACGAAAAGAATGATTGGAGAGTCAATTGTTGATACATGGTTTCGCAAGTGTCTTGGTCATTTGTCAAGTAGTTTCCTAAGGCCAATAAAAAAATTTTTAATTGGTGCTAATTACTAAAAAAACAACAGGCAAAGATGCCTGTTTACAAGGATACGCAATCTGATGGAGGCATACATAACAAAAGACACTGTCTGTGAAGAGGTGTATGCAGATTCACATTTTTCCCCATCATTTCATTTCAGATTATTTAAATCTAAAAGTGGTTCTTACTTCAGTAAGACCTATGATTGCGGTCCTATTTCTTATTCTCATTCTTGCAATTGATTTTGTGTGAGTTTGTTTCGCTTTGTCATCTTCCTTTAAAATTTTAGCTTGCTAAAAATGTTCGTGCTCTTTGCACTCTCTAATTTAAAAAGGCTCCTTTGTTTGTAGTAATTAATTTTCTACTTTTATTGCCTTCAGGAGGCACATCTGTACAGCTGAGTTAATAAGTGGAGTTGTCGTCTTGATCTGCAGCTCTAAGCCAAGGGTTATTTCGTTTTGATGTGCATTTGGACCACATGGTATTCTACTTCTGTTCAGCAATGATGACATGTGTGAACAAGCCACCTGAGATTATTTCGGTCATGTAAATTTTAAAATGCTGCTAAGTTTGCATTTCAGTTCAATTGACACCTTCCTGGTCACCTACATTATGCTGCAGCAATTCAAATGCAATTAGAATTCCTTTTCAGAAAAACTGACTAATCTCGTGTGTACTTACCGAGGCAAAGAATAAGCACGTAGGCATTAATTGAAAGACTGACCTGCAGTCGGCATTTGGTCACCCAGCTGTCTATGGGAAAATCCATTAGACTTGGGATGAAAAATTGTAAACAGGCGTTCCAATGACCCAGAAGCAGCATCAGCAGAATCAACTTCAGAATCCCGATAAATTTGCCGGCAATATTCATGAACTGAAAAGCATGCGAAGAAGAAGCTGGTTAAAATAAACGGCTCATCCGCCAGTGTGGATGATGATTTTGTTGACTAAGTCGACACATGTACACACTGTGAAACAGGAAATCGCAGACACGCTGTGGCCCTGAAATCATCCCAATAAGATCATTTAAAGTTGGTTTACCGATGTAACACTTGATTCGCCATTAGTTCCTGAATTTTTAGTCCTAATCGAGAGCAAACTTGAATTTTCCCATTCAGTGACCAATGCTTCGCAAATTTCTGAATCAATTTGTACTTTGTCGACACATTTTTGATTTTTTTAAGCAGTTCAGAATATCGCATATGCGCGGTTTTAAAGTTCAGAACATTCTAACCTGTGTTTGATTCAACTTAATTAGATATGTAGTACAAAATAAAACAGTTATTTCCCACGAGTGTCAAATATATTTTACAAAACATGCGCCTAATATTTGTCAGGATACTACTGAAACTATTCTGATCGTCACAACAAATACCACTGTCAGAATTTTGAATATGCTCAGCATTTGCAAAAAACCTGGACCAGAGATTAAAATGTAAATCCTTGTTTTCAAATACCTAATAAAATTGAAGGTTAAAAGTGAAGACCATGCAAAAAATAGGCCTCAGATTAAATTTATTTATTGCACTAGATTCTGCATGTTTTTCTTGGATTTACCTTGGCAGAGACATGGCTTAGGAGGACTAGCTGGCATTATCTCTACACAATTTTTCCATAAAAAACGAGAAACCTTGTTAAAGTCATGAATTAAAAACGCATTATTCAGCACAAAATTTCAGACCACAACTGCAATGCTCATGTTTGAAGTGTTATTTGCGAAAAAATAATATGCCAGTACAAACTTTTTAGTGCAGCATAGTTGAAATAATGTAGCCATCCATACTAATGAGAAGCATAAGTACCGAAAAAATTAAAAGGCCAATATTCTAAATTAGGAAATGAATTTATGCACATTTGTTTGCAAGTATTTCTTGGGAATTAAGAATCTTTTCCTCGTCATTTCCTCCGATCTATGCTATGAAGTCAGAAAATCTCAAATACAATGCTTTTTATTCAGTAAAATTTTTTAGGCCTCATCTTATGCCAACTCACACATTTTGTCCGTATACTACAACGCCGATTTATAAAAATCAGCCTGTATACAATTACACTGATCCATTCTTGTTATTTCCAAACTCGTGAGGATTTGTCAATGGTAGACACGCTGAATGGTCTTCAGGTAAGAAGACTGTTGGTGAAACAAATGATGATTTTTTGAAACCAAAGCCTACAAGCCATTTTCTCAAGCTATTTAAAATAGGATATTTTAGTTTGTCAGCCTCCGTTTTGCTTCCAAATTATGTGGTCATTGGCCCCTACCTACTTTGCAGGTTAGGCGTTGCTCTAGCTAGTGGGATTAATACAAAAAAATTCCTTTGAACCACATTTCCCTGATGCAAATATCTAGCCTACTTAAAGGTTATGCAGAACATTTGTCATCACCACACAAAGCATTCAATGCAACATGGACGAGCACACTTCGACAATGTTCGGTCAAGCTACCGGCATTGAAATTTGTGTGGAACCAACAGCCACGCATGACAACTCGGCTTTAAAGTGAGAAACAATGCCGGCAGTAAATTAACGTGACAATCAACGAGCATAAAAACAGAAACGTGGTGTCTTTTTTAATGTGTTGAGCCTATCTGTGATTTTTCTTGTTCATTAGGCCTTGTTAAGCACATAAATAAAATTATAAAAAACTGCCATTTTAAATTCTGTTCTCAAAAGTCTTAAGAAGCTTAGCGTTTATTTCATGACTCTAATTACTAAAATATCTACGTATTTTTGCAAAGGTTTGTTTAAAGTTAAGGAAAGTTTTCAGAAAATCGTAATAGGTTTATTGTTTGGTCCATTTACTTCAGTTTTATAGAATAGCTACAGCGTTTTGACACGTAACCCGACAAGTTGATTTGTAGTGCGTGTTTACGTATGGACCAAATGCTGTGCCTAAAAAGGTTCTAGTCACCTAGGTTAATATATGTTGCTAAAAGTTTGAGGTTGGATAAGGCATGTGTATTTACAAACCCAGCCAACGGGCTGCCTAGGTATGTTTCTAGTGAAAATATATACTTGATATGCAAATTCATTAAAATTTAGCATTTACTGATTTAGGTTCTGGTTTTACAAGTAGACCTAGCTATCCATTATTGCATTTTCCTGTCAAAAAGAACCATAAACTGCTAAAACAGGGTCATGGCTTTAATACAATAGAGAAAGGAAGCTAAATTAGGCAAGAATAGATAGCAGAAGGACTTTGATTGGTTAAAAATCTAGGCTAAAAATATAATCATAAGTGGCATTTGCAAACTTTTAGATGCACTGTCAATACAGGCATCTTGTACGATCATATTCAGGTAAATAGTGCGATCAAAAGCGTTTTCAAATTCAATTTTAAAACTTCAAAGACAGTTATGTGTAATGGTTATGTAAGTCGAGTGGTCATTACGTATTTGTGTATTAATATCCCCTACGATGCAAGATGCAATATTTTGAAGTCAGTCTTTAAATAGCCGAAGGTTTACGTTATTGACCATGCCAATTATATTTACTTGAACATCATGAATCTTGGCACAGCCTGAAAAGTTGTTCATAAGTTTGACAAATGTACCCAGGCAGGTCATTTGCATCACTTGGGGATACTTTTAAAAATGCTAAAAAATTCAAGAATCACCCTTTGTTTATGCTAGTCAGCAATCAGGTTCCATAAGATTTAACTTTTTTAATTTTCAAAATTTCAAAACAAATAAGGAGGTGAGTACAAATGCATACTCGCCATGGCTCCATTGTTACTGCTATGCGTTTGCCTGTTTACGAAAGAGTACTTTGCAAAACCAACGTAATCTACACGTCGATCTGCACTAACATTTTGTTAAAACTCTTTTTGCATCTTAGGGCAGCAGATGCGATGTATATTTTAATTAATTCATTAGCAAGTGTTAGCCCATGATGCGCATAAAACTGAATAATTTAACCTAATAATACTGCGCTTTCAGCCGCTAATTCGGTGTGTCAGGTGTTACATAGGTAATGCGCATTATTACAATATCCAAGCGGGTACATTTTCACCGTTGGCATCAGGACAGGTATGTTTTACTTTTACATGCGTAAAAAGGCCACGAGAAGTGTTTAATTCGATCTTATGCCTGTTTTTGAAGAATACGTTGGGTGCAAATATCAAAACTCAACTTTTTAAAACAAAATAATCAAAGACACAGCATTTAAAAGTCAAAGTGGAAACATCAATAGCTGGGATGGTAAGATATTGTTCACTTAGCCAAATTTTTCTTGTTGCAAAATGACAAAACATTTATTGCGAGGTTCGTATGCAAAAGACAGGAATATTTCAGATAAGATGTTTAACTTTTATTCCAATAATAACGCTTTTTTTCAATAAATTGGACGCTAAAAGGACAAAAACTTCGTAGCTAGGAGTAGATGGTTTGATGTTTCGAGGTGCATCAAGTGACCAACTGATTAAGTCTAAATCATGTCGAGGGCTTTAAATAATGACGCGGACATACAGAGTGGATTTACAATGGCAGCCGGAAAATTTTGCAGTCTTACCCTGTTTTCTTAACGTGACGAAAACGCAATAAATATGCGCCTGATTTCTTTCTTGGCCTTGTTATAACTATCGCCAAATTAAAGCTTGTTACCATCCTAATGAAATGACATTTTGTCGCCACAGACATCTGCGTTGTTCAAAGCTAGTTTCGAGCTGGAAATGCAATAGTTATTTTGAGCATAACTGGAAATATTTTCCTCCCATATCTGTTTGCACATTTTGGTGTGTAACGTGGTAAGGCAGTTTCACTAACCCACTTTCTTGGAACTATAATGATATCTGGCTTCCTGTATTTAATGTGGGACTGCGAAAAATTGAAAGGACTCAGTTCATTGTAGCTGTCAAAATATCAAATTCTGTCTCTGTACTAATCTTAGGACCACACACAGCGCCATTAGTGAAATAAGTACGGCTTTCATGTCACGCATCTCTACAAACAAAGTTAAACTAAACCAGCTTCTACTTACAAATGTCAAACTAGTCTGGTGAATGCAGGACTCTCTCAGAACTTAGCCGCCTTTAAGTGTCAGCGGAATTTTGAGTGGAAAAAGGGGTTGGTGTTTTATTGCCAAATCTATAAACATTTCACAAATTTAAGAACTGAGTAGCGGCGCAATTTTTATTTTGAAGATTTTGTACATCCATACAAATTTTTTTAAACACATATGTAGTGTTTTTGAGTGGAATTTCACAGACATACATGAAACTATGCCTTTAAGAAGTATTTTAGAACTTAAAATGGCAAATATTTTGCAATGAAAACGGTCTATAGTTAGTATATGTGATGGCACAGGAAAGTGCTCTGTGTGTTTAGAGCAGTAACGACTGGCAGTCAAAAATGCACCTCACTTTGGACAAGCTGCCATTGCTAGATCAGATGATATCACGTGATGGCAAACAAGCCTGGCAATAATCGTTGCTGCCTTTTACGATTTCAGTATATAGTTAAAGGCTTGGGACGGTAAAATAAATGTGTAAATGAGCTGTTGAATCAACAGGGTTACTAGGACAACTAAATATAACGTGTAGAAGATGATGGGAACTAGAGGCGTTACATGCGCCCTGGGATATTTTCATGTTGCTGATTTGTACATCTCACTACAAGATACTCCTGATTCACCTCTGTAATCGAAAATTATTTACAAGGGAAAGCGACATATGACCAGGATAGGTGACCTATTATGCCACTATCACACTGCAAAATGTGATTTTATGCCCTTCTGGATGAAAAAAAGGGGCAATAAGGTAAGTAATTTTGCTGGGATAATTTACCGTGCAACCAAGAGGTCGGATCTTGGAACGCTAGTTGTAATGCGCTAACATCAGTCTAGTCTACATTGAGTAGTTGTTATTGTGGGGACTTCCAACTAAAATGCATTCTGCAGACGATTGAAAAAGAGTGTTGTACTATTAGTCGTTCATTAATAATACCTTCATTTTTTAATAACAAATGCATTCATTCTCACGTTTTTTTTCGAAGAAAATTAAGTAATTTCACTTAATTTATAAGTTAATATAAGGCAAGGTGCCTAAATTATGGTGAATTGCGTGGTAGTGGCGCCTTACTACATCGCGTGTAATACATTATTATTTGTTTATTAAGACCCAATTTTAAGCAAGTTTATAGTTTTTTCGATTTAAAATCTTTTTTGGGACCATCTCTTTTTCTCAAGTTTATTTGAGAACATGAATTAAGACAGAAAATATCCTATCTGGCAGGTTAAGACCCTGAATACGTTGGGTTTTCATTACTGAAATGGAATTGATCATGTGAAGAAGAGTAACAGGTTCAGAAAAGAAATTTAAATGCAAAAGCAACTACATTTTTACCTTCTCCCATTCACCGACATATCGCAGGAGTCGAGAAAGCCGAAAAAGACGCAAAAGACTCAGCAGCTTTGCCAGTCTGAGAATCTTCAGTGCTTGGCCTTTGGATGCAAAAAAAATGGATACATAAATGCTGTTTGTGTTAAACCTTTTTGCCACCTGGCTCCGGCAAAAGGCTGCCTTAGTTTTCGTCTGCCTGCCCAGTTATCAGTGGCAGAGTTATATTTACCAATCATCTAAATAATTTATGTCATTGCGTTTGTTGAGGTGATTAAAATCACCTGGTAGAGTTCCCTGGCAGCTATTCGGTTAATAATATCTAAGAGTGTGGCAATGAAAGTTGACATTTTTAAAACCGCAGACCTCAGATTTGGCGTTAAATGAAGGTGGCTTCCTGTCAGTGATACCATTCGTCACTTCAGAATGTAAGACGGCAAACTTCGGCAATGTTACGGCAATAAATTTTAGGTATAATAACTGGAATTGTCTTGACTTTTCACAACCTTCTTGATATACAGGAGCAGTCTAAGATAACTTAGACATGTGTTGTTAAAGTGAGTGAATCTAAAAGCAACTCATGGGGCTTAAGTGCCGACTGTTTTTTATCCATTGAGGATTTTTTTCTAAGAATAAGGTAGCATACAAATTGGTGTGTGTCTTAATTAAAGTTTGTAACAAGATAAATTCTAACTAGTAGAGCAGGAACGGAGTTTATTGCCTACTTAAAGGAAAACATTACAGAGTCGTGAGGTCAGGTGAACGAGTAAAATAAGTTCAATGATTGGCAAGAGTGTGGGACTTGTAAAATCAACTGAATATTTTGCACCGCTATACCGATTGATCACTAAAAGATGGCAACGTCTTGTGAAGCCTAACATGTGAACTTTTGTAGACTAAGACCAAAAGTAACTTCAACATTGTGTTTTCAAAATTTCACGCAGACTTTGATTTTATATACCAACGAAGACATTTTATTGAACCTGAGGATTCAAAGCTGAAAGAAGACTGTCGACCATATTGCAGGTTAAAGGGTAGTCGAATGTTTTTTTTCAAATTCGAACCGTGTTTTACTCTTTTCTCCCTGTTTCACAATTACCACACTTTCCTAAATTGCCAATCGTCGATTATTCGTCTCTAGGACACCCAAGTTAATAACTACTAATTAAAAAAATCCTTGACTGTAAATTATATATGGGCAAGTTTATTGTATGAACGCTGTTGAGATGTGATGAGTTCAACGGTTTTGATTACCCATAGTCGCTGATCACGCAGTCAACCCTTTCAAAGTTTAAATAACTGCATGCAGTGACAGTACGGTTGCGTCTGACTCCGTCTGCACTTAAAGCTTATTGCTTTCTGCATAATTCTTTAATGACCAAACAAGATTAAAGTCCATTTTTTCCTAGTTGCATGCAGGTATGTCGCATTAAAATGGACAGAATTTTAATTCATATTTAAGAAAGAACACAGGGTTGTATAAACTTCCCTACAGAAAAGCAATGTGTTTTATTTCGTGCAAAACAGAAAGACAAGTTGTAGATTAGTTTGCTTACCTGCTTGTGCGATTTGTTCCGTGCCTTTATCAAAAGCTAGTAGAACATAATCAAGAGGCAAGGCAGATACAAAGTCCAAGATGAACCACTTGCGTAGATACTCTCGCACAATTAACTTCGGTTCCAAGACAATGTCATCCGCCATGCTTTCTCTTACAAAACCTTGGTAAAATGACAAAACGTAATCTACCATAATTAGACAAAGGCATCTCAAAACATGTGCCAATGTATAGTCATTTTTTGATAACTTTGCAAAATTAAATAGGACACGTGTTTAAATCATGTTGACTTGTAATTTAGGCATTGTGTTTGCTAAATTAATTTGCAAGTAGTAGTTAACCTGTCTGATCACAAGCCACGTTTAATTGTGGACTGCGATTATCATAAATCGCGTTTTAAATTGTTGACTTCCTTTTAAAGAAATTTATTATCGATACGAGCGAAACTGTCGCGGGCAGCTTTTGGTTCAGAAACGACTTGAAGAATGCTTGACTTAAATGGGCATAGCAGCAAAGTGAATGATAGCTTTCCAAAGCTTGTCTGTTGGTGCTTTTCTTGGCTAAACGTAAAAGCAGATTAAGCGGTGCATTCATTATTTTGTTCTTCAACGTTATGTGTATGCTAAAAGTATGCTGACATATTTGTTTGCGAAAGAGACTCAGAAATGGACTCTCACGAGATGGAAAGTTTTTTCCTTGCACCACAATCAAATTAAAAACAATCGAAAACCCTTAAAAAAGGAACTTACGTAAATACAAGCTCAAGTAAATGAAAGTAGATGGAAGCAGAATATTGACATGACACACAGATAATGTCTGCGAGAACAAATTGCAGACATTCTAAGTAAACTAACGCTTCCATTTCACTCTTGCGTAATGACGCCGTTTTTTATACGAGGCACTGTTTAGGAATTTAGCGAACTACTAAGTTCGTGACCTTATAGGCGAAAAAACTTTATTGCTGGTTTTATCAGATAAAAATTTAGTAAACGCTACTGAGCAGAATATTTAGGAATCCAATAAGCCTTCTGTTGGAAAATATAGACTTAAATTTACTGTCAATAGACCTTTTTTTCGGTGACGTGCTTCCTTTTTTCCACCACAAAAAACACACAACGGCACTCGAATTCTGCAAATGCAGTCCACCCTCTTTCGCTGCTGGCCTCTTTCATTTTGCTTATTACTTACTTATTAGGAAAACTACATTAGTATATGAGCAGAATAATCTAATTTCACCAACCGAGTTTGCTGTGTACTACAGTTTGGGGTGCAATTTTGTTATTCCCTCAGTTTACCTGTGTTTTCTTGCAAGTTTTTTTAACGACAATTCTATTGTCATCATCTCTTGTTACAATCCACATCCCTTCAGTTCATCCTATCTATATTATACGCCTGCGAATGTCTCACATATCTTGTAGCCTAGGTTTTCAATTTTTTGTCGTAATCAGTTTGTTCGTTCAATGGTTTTTGTAATCCACAAATCACTGATCAGAATACTTAAATGCATTTGACAAATAGGTTTGCGTAATTTGGTGATCACGTGTGAAACACCGTCAGTAATCAGTGAACGATAGCTCAGATCATTCGAGTCAACTCCAAGTAAGCATGATCATAAACTCAGTGGTGCAGTATTTGATGCCCACGTATATCGCCTAAAAGTTTATTGTTCTTGAAGCCATAAAAGGACGTAAGATGATGCTTTGAAAGAGCGATTTTATTTCGATACCATAATAATGTGGTGTAGGAAATGCTTAAATCGACAACGGCAAGATAAAATTAATACATAATTTGAATTTCGCTCAGCATTGTGACAATTTGAAATGCCTCAACTTGGCATAATTTTAAACACCCAGTATTCTGAAACCTAGTGATATTTAAAATTTTGATCGTGAATACAAACTGCAAACAAAACAAAATAAATGCGGATGTTTTAAAATCATTTGGAATTTTCAGACTGCCAATATCAGTTGGTCTCAGAGCACATCTAATTAAAAATAGACCAATCTAATCGCGTCTCCCAATTAGGTTATTGATTACTAAGGTCACTAACAAAAGCTACAAACAACTTTCCCAGTGCATAGACAACTTTGATAATTCCCACTCAAAACAGTCGGACACTAATAGTCTTTTGTGATAAAAGATAGTTATGTAACTTTTTGATAATTAATAATGCATATACCATCGATGAGAGCACGTTAACTTTATATAGGGAGGTAAAATATTCATTTAGTAAGTCGTTTTAATAATCATAAAATGCCTAACGCGTAAAGCACAATAAAATTTTGAGGCTAACAGACAGACTCACCTGTTCTGAAGTTTACCATAATGTCAATGATAAAAAGAAAATCCGAACAGCAGCTGTAGCACAGCCATACTGGGCTCCTGTACCGTAGGTTGAAGGCGATCGCTATTGGCAGGCTGACTAGATTTGACATCAACAAAACAAGCATTGTTATATTCCAGTAAATCCTGCAAAAAACAAAGATTTTGCACTCAAAAGCATGAGAAGGGGATTAGTTTCACTCTAAAGCAACAAAATAAACAACAGAATCCATTTTGTATATGCATTTCTATCTTTGTAGAACTACTAACCCTCCAGTATTTGGCCATTACTGTTTTAGCATTTAAAAGACCTGCCAGAATTTGCCTATGGAGTTTAAAATTGCCTTGAGTAATTTTCAATGCTACCTCAAAAACAAATTAAGTAATTAAGCAGGTTGAAAGCCTCATGCTCCAATTGTGTGATTCACAGAATTCTAAACAACAAGAGTTGCAATGTTTTTTGTTATTTTTCGGTTGGCATCAATTAAAGCACCATAAATAAACGCTGCGGTAGTAACAAAACGCGTATTACCAAACCATCGAGAGAGCTGCGTTGCCAAACTACATCAAAATGGTGTGGGCCAGGTGAACGTAACGAATTGTAAGCCCAAGAACAGTACGCCTTTTGACATGAACATGTTCCATCATAAAAAAGGACAAACTCAAAGCACATCAATATGAAATCCAAAGGCACAATTAACAAATGGCCTGCTATTAATGTGTCCCATTCTTTTCAAAAAAATGTTTTTTGGTCGTCGTTAGGTCTGCATCCTTGCCACAGGCTTGTGCGTGGGTGATTCTCAGCACATTTTGTGATAATTCTGAACCTTCGACAATTCTACATTCTACATCAAAACAACCACAATAAGGGCATTATTTAAAAGCCTACAAATAAATATTAAGAAGAGGAACGTTGGTTACTTAAAACTTTTTGACGTTTCAGATTATATGCATAGAAAACTGTGGCATCTGGGAGACTGCAAAACTCGTTCATCCGCATTTCCATGAAAAGTTTTCTTAGTTGTAAGGATTTGGTGTCCATGAGGTTCACAAAGTTTGATTGGAGATACTTTTGGAGAAGCAGTCAAAAATCGATAATTTAGCTTGCTCAAACACTTAAACCTATGTGCTGCCTAATTTATATGTAATCTTAATACAAAGACATGACATTGGACCCGTTAATATCACAAAGGCTTTTTACCAACGAACGAATTTAACAACATTTTCACAAATTAAAGATTTTTCATTAAATATTTTTACTAAGCAAACAGCAAATATAGAGGTTATTTTAGCTGAAAGCAATAATTTTTGATATCCTTTCATTGCTCTCATTTGGGACGCGCATACCATGGGATACTTGCTTACTAGTTCAAAAACTAGTAAGCAAATGGTTGTAGCGTACCTTTTCATTTACCCATTAACAGGGGCTACGTAAAACACCGTCCATAGTGTAAATTGAAGCGAATGCCAAGAGTGATTAAGCATCATACACAAATTAAAGTTCATTGTTGATAAATTCGGTGCAAATTTTTAAAGCTCCCTTCTGTTTATCGCTTATATTAATGTGAATTTAAGCTGAATCCCTATTGTTTGAATTACTAGCGAAAACGTAAAATAATCTTGCGTGAGCAAAGACCGTCGTTACGGGAAGGCCTAGAAGTTGAAGATAATAGCATTTATTCTACTTCCACCCAGTGTTCCAAAACAACAGTATTCAATTTACACAGGCTTGAAATCAAAACCTTAGTTCTAAAATATAAACAGCAGCGTTTTTTAAAGAAATCGCCTTTTTGCTGGCATAACAAAACAAAAAATACTATTTCCCAACTTAACTGTTGATACGCCAGTTTTATTATTGCAGACTTTTTTGTAATTTTTGTAAATGCTTAATTAAACCTATAAAAGGGTGTTCTGTGTAGATATGGATCACAAAGACATAGTTATTTAATGAAAATCGGCAGCTTGACATCTTGTGTAGAGATCTCCTGTACTCACAATCAACACTAAATTAAACTGCAGACTAGTTTAAAAACTGCTGCTTACTCAACTTAACTGTCTCATTCTGTATAAAGCAGTAGTGCCACTGCTTTCTTGGACACAAACCGCTTCACCTAAGGTTCTGTTTCGTTATTTTGAACTTACACATTTTTCTAACCGGAAATTACCATTTACCTGGTAAAATAATTATAGACTGATTCTTGGATTATAAGTAGTCAGCCGTCGGCGCCTAAAGCACGCTCAATTTTATAACATTTCAGAAGCACAAATACAAACGCATCTGCACAGACATACACACAAGTATACCCATGTACCCACCATCGTGACTATGCATTCTAACATAAAAAGTAGCTGCGTAATCAGCAAAAATATGCCTGTGACATTCAACCGCTGTCTAGACACCGTCTTAAATGTTGCATTGTTTCTTGCGCACCGCAAGTATGGACAGAACACACTTAAGATACTAGAATCTTACTTGAAACGACTATACGGATGTATAACCCACACGTGTTGGTTAAGCATTCTCCTCTGCTCCCAGTGCACGGCTTGTTTTGTTCCGAAGAATTTCAGGCTAAGCTTATTTGAGTCGGGTGCAATCATGCTGAAGAGGTGCTCCTTTATGCTGTTCATACTGCTGCCAACTTGGGATTTTGACTTGACTAGGTTATTCGGGATTGATTCGAAACTGGTAAACCTGGAGGGGAAGTGCTGACCAGCAAAGCTGTGCCTTTTTCCAATGGTGTGTGCGGCTGTGTGGCGATTGTGGAAGTGGTTGGACTGGAGACTTCCGAGAAACCGATCTTCCCACACCTTGGAAGCCCGCTGCCAGTGAAACGGTCTGAAATTAGAACGCCTAACTGGAGCGGACTCAGAAGGGGCATCCCGCGGCCTACTGGAATCCTCATCAGTATGCATCGAATGAAGCAGTCATTTAATTCCCAAGTACCAATTCCATGACTCGAGATGGGTAAAGTCCCACTTCACGCACAGACTTATTATTCTGTCCTGGTGCGCTCTTTTGATTGGTTAAGCGAAATCTTGAATCCCATTGGATGACAATGGCAGTTAATTCATCCCACGTGTAAATAAGAATGCCTGCATGTATTTAGGGCCTTAATTCGGGGAAAAATTGTATGTCTTTCTAGATTTCGCTAACGACGCCCTATTTCCTAAAGTTGCATTTAAAATTTGTCCTTGGATTTTAGTACATTATTAGCATTGCCTGTTTAAAAATGTGTACAGGACGAGAATGTAATTCGTTCTTGCTGAAAATAAACTGAAATATTTCATCAAAAGGGTACAGTCCAGTAGTAATATTTAAATCATCCAAAGCATTTTGTAAGAAAATGCTTTTTTTAAGTAGAGTTAAAATTGGAAACCAAATAATGTTTTCGAATATCAATCGTAAAACCTGATTCCTTGGCTGACTTCAGAATCAAGTGTATTTTTTGTACATGAATTCCAGTAAGTTTATTAGATGAACCGAACAATGGAAGTAAATTGACCTTTTCGATATCAAATTATAAAGGCTAACAGAAAAAAAATTTCTACGTATTAAATTATCTTCTTGGGTTCTCTCTAAGAGTAATTTAACTTTAACGACGATTGCTGCCAAGTCAAAATTGAAAGAAATGCTAAATGCTCAAAATTTGATGTATTAGAACGCTCAAAAGCAGGACTCAAAAAATTCACAATCAAACATCATTAAATTTTATTCGAAAATCCTAAACTATAAATTTGGTTTTATTTTAAAGCGAATTTAAGAAAATCAAACATTGCACGTTATTTTTGCAAAACAAAATTAACCGCAAGCTTGGCTTGTTAAGGATGATTGCTTACTTCTTTTCTGTCTCAACATAACTAATGCTTTTGTTACAGGAAGTATAATATGCCCAATTAAAAGTGGTAGCCTTTTGCTAAAAAGTATTTCAACTGCTCGTTTTTTAAGGGCTAAGTGGGATTTAAATTGAACATGCGCACACAAGTTTACTTTAACATACAAGATAAAAGTAACGACTAGATCTATTCGATTTCGTAATTTTTAAACATTGCTTCTTAGTTGCTCTATTAAGCGGTTTTAGTCTCAAATATGGCTACTTTTTTAAAATATTTTACACTACGATTGCAATCTATTTCGTAGCTGATGTTATCGTCGTAGCATTTTATTTTAAAAATAAATGCATAACGGCTTCGCAGAGGCACATTTAGGTAAACGTATTAACTTATTTTTTTTCAAATTCGTCCTAAATTTTTGAAACTGGTCGTTTCATCGTATTTTGCCCGTGGCCCTATTTACTTGAGTATGCGATATAATTTAGCCCACAACAAAGCCTTTATCTAGGCTATTTGTCAAAATCATTTTAGTGGCGTGGTGTACTTGTGCCTTAATGTGCACTGATTACAACGCGGTCAAAATCAAAGCTATTTAGAATGGATCTGGTGCAGACAACTCCCTTTATTGATTTTTTATCATGTACCTGTGGTCAAGAGGTTACGCCCGCATTCGCAATCAGAAAATATTAGTGCTTAGTGATACTTATAACTGAAGTCCTGCACAATTTTAGATTAAAGTTTATTGGAAATCTTTTTTCGTTTTTACTTGCCGCAGACCTTGTTTATCTTTACCTCATACTCTTTAGTACTTTACATATTTTCAATAATTTATTACTAAGTTAGCAACATGCGGCTGACTTCAATAATGCGGATTGCACGGCACTTTTTAATGCTGCGGCAGGCAAAAAAATGCCTGTCTGTTCTAGTGATTCTAGGCTTTAACTTGTACTAATATCGGGTGCTGTTCAGTGAAATGTCTATCAACTGCCTACAGTTCTTTTAATGAATTTATAAATACAGGTTGTAAACAGTCAAATAAACGTCACTGTCTTGATGGGAATTTTCTACTCATCAAAATCAAATTGCCAAATGCTGCACTTCTTGAAAAACGGTAACTTTTCCTGGCTTATGATAGTTCTGATTACGACGTGGTCACAATCAAAGCCATCTAGAATATATCTGATGCAGACAGCTCCGTTTATTGATCTTCTATCGTGTAGCTGTGTCCAAAAAGTTCCAACCGCATTAGCACTCAGAAAATATCAGTGCTTATCGATAATTATAATGAGAGTCCTGCATAATTTGTGAAAAAACTTGCTTATTTTTGTTTGCCGTAGACTTCGTTCATCTGTGCCTAATACTCTTTGGTACTTTACATATTTACAAAATTTTATGACCAAATTTTTAAAACGAGGCCAACCTTAATAATGCGGATTGCGTGGCACCTCTAAGGTCTTATTGCAGTGTTGTGGCAGACAAAAAATTGTCTGTCTGTTCTAATGATTCGAGACTTCAACTTATACTGTTCAGTGAAAGGCCTATCAACTGTCTACGATTCTGTTTATGAATTTACAAATCCAAGTTTTAGACAGTCAAATGAGCGTCACTGTTTTGATGTGAATTATCTATTCATTAACACCAAATTACAAAACGCCACACTTCTTGCAAAACGTTAACCTTTCCTGAACTATGATAGTTCTGAAGTTATTATACTTGCATTAGTATGTGGACTAATTTTCAGTATCTTTTAACAGATATGTAAAGGTTAAAATTGGAGACTTACTTCCAAATAATTGACTTAATTTAGTTTTCGAAAAATATGTTACTAACCCTATTACGTGCACAGAGAGCAAGATTATTTAATAAAGTCTGAGGAAACAGGAATTCCAGCTTTCATGGCTCAGAGGTTCTGCAAACATGAGGCATGATAATTACCAACCTGGAATGTGTTCAGACTCTGTCTGATATTTTAATTTAAATTCTATGCCTTAGTCGTTAAAAGGTTGAATATAACTTCGCTTTTCTATAGTTCGGCAGAGTGAATTTACCTGTTCAGCTGATACACAAAATAATTGCTTCACATAAGTTTTAAAGCACAGTTAATCCGTAATTTCTTGCCTGGTTGGTTTTACTTTTTACAAAACGGGGCTACGAAAACCCTAAAACATAAGTTGTGCCAAAAAGCAAGTGGTTTCATTAGGGCAAATGAATTCGAATTTGCTAAATTCGTGACAGGTTTCTTGGTTTTTAAGTAGCACATAAGAGATCATTGTCTAAAATTCCTGTTAACAACACGAATTCTGTCAATCCTTGACGTGAGCATCATATCTCCCGAAAAAAATTTCCATGTATATGATGACAATGATTAAGTCAGAGTGTACGCAGTGTTAAGTGCCAAACATTAATCCAGGCGGAAGCACACCTTTATACGCGTTGATTTGCATTCACTTCGACAAAATTTGTGTGCTGTAAAAAAGACATTCATTTAAAATATTTGATTTTTGTGGCTAAAAACCAAAAAAATACAAATACGTTAAAATAAATGGAGAAATACCTTCGGGGCAAGCAGGGACCAGGGCGAAGACACTTACTCCGTACTCAAACACTGATGTGTTGAAAGAAAGCTGACTTGTTTTTTTTCCACGCACCAAACCATCAAGTAAACCTATCACCATCGAGACGCTTGCATTGCAATAACTTGGCCAGGGCACTTTTAGAGTGTACTTTTTTACGTGGCGTCTGGAAACTGACCGCTTATCTTGCGTGCAGTGTCACGGAAGATGCACTGAATGTGGACTTTCAGAGTACGCCCACGTATTTTTTTAGAAAAGTATCTATAAAAAACAACCGTTGAGAGACAAAGATACCGGTACACGAATTACAGCCTTCAAAAATGACAACGATGATTTAATTGAACTATTCTTTTAAATTCCCCTCTTTACCTACTTGAGAATTAACCCAACATTCCACATTAGTACGAAATTAAGACAAATTAGAAAATTAAGGGTCATTTGAGTTTATCGTATATTGTAGATTGATGCTATTCCTAATTACTGATGTAAATAAATTGCGCAAGTTTAAGTCGGCTTCCAAAAGCCAAATTCTAATCAGTCCAACTTTTGGGAAATGGTGAAGGAATTGAGAAAAGGCAAATCCAATCCAACTGGCCAAGATTCTCATTACACGTGCAGATATCTTGACCGCTTTACTGTTCAATGGATTTTGGTGGATATTTTTGAAGCTGCAACTTGATTTTTTCCAACGTCTTACTGTTCAGCCAAAATATGATGAAAATTTAGCATTTTGTTGGTTTTTCCATTCAAGTACAATAGATTGCCGCTTCTCCACAACCTTAGCAACTGACCGATTTGTTTGAGCTGGCACTTGCAGTATCAACTCAGTGAAGGAGACCGTAACAACATGTCGTCGCGATGAGCTTTGATTCCTATAAAAATGAATCTGTAGCGCAAACAAACGTGCTCAGGTTTTTTTACACAAAATAATGAAGCATTAATCGTCCACTGACCTTAGAACAGAGTTACACCCACTCAGTCTCTTGTGATTGGTCCGCAAACCATAGACCTCTTGCATAGTGTATTGTCCATGCAAGGATATTAATATTGATTATGAAAAAACAATAATCTGTTTAAGCTAGGCACAGCAACAACGACGGATTTTCAGCAATAAATTGCTTTATGAATAGTGCCGTAAGCCAGCGTGGAAAGAGCATCCGTTTATGCTGGAATGCTTGATATCGATTCCTGAAAGAACATCGCTACGTGAAGTGAATTCGAGAAAATCGATTGACTTCGTGTCCGTTCACGCTTGTTGACAAAGTATGTCCGTTGATCGGCATAGCTCTCCACCCTGCCAAAGGAATTGACAAAGATTTTCTGGAGTGTCCGTGTGAACGGCTGAAACTATTAACTTCCTGTACAAGCGTAGTACCCAGTGGACGCATCGGCCGTAGCAAATAGTAATAAAAATTTGTCTTCTATTGGTAGATGAGGGGCATCGGCTTTGAACGGAGTCTTTGGTTTGGCAGCGTCTCCGTGTCAAGGAAAGCTAACTCGAGGGGGTCA